TCTCTGCCTACGGTTTACCGGGCAGTTCTGTTTGTGACGATATATATATATTCTATTTGACGATATATATATGAAACTCCGACGAAACAGTTTGTCACAGTCCCTCGTTTGTTGTCCTCTTCTCTCTCTCTGCCTACGGTTCACCGGGCAGTTCTGTTTGTGACGATATATATATTATATGCTTTGACTTTTGCCACAGGTACCTTGAGGGCAGTGGTTGGTGCCCACCTCAGGGTATCAGTTGCCGGGCAGTCGTTGATGCTTAACCACAGCCAGGGTTAAGGTGGATTATCACTTAGTGTAATCAGTTAGGGGATTCTGCAGACTGTCGAGGGTTCAGCCTCCTGACGAGTCGGTGAAACTCCGACGAAACAGTTTGCCAAAGCCCCTCGTTTGTTGTCCTCTTCTTTCTCCCTCTCTGCCTACGGTTTACCAGGCAGCTCTGTTTGACTATATATCTCTGTTTTTTTTTTTTTTTTTTTTTTTTTTTTTTTGGGAATGAAGTGGCGGTTTAGGAACAGCTTCTTGTAGTTGGGGCATACTCACAATAGGACTTTTCTGGATGTACCTGACCGCAACTGTGTCCAGAGCTCATTCGAGAAAGTCCTATTCTGAGGATGCCCTTGGAAGGGCAAACAGGCATACTGTGTGTCTTGTATGTTCAGTGGCGCCCCTGGCTCCAATGGTGGCGTGAAGTTGTGAACCTACAGTCTGTAGAGTTTTACTTGTGTGTGAGTAGGTGATGATCACCTTCAGTCCCTGCTGTATGCATGGATTGCCTCGTTGGTGCTGCAGCCATGCTGCTTGGCTGCGCATCCAGCAACTTTCTGTTGCTGTGCTACTTGGCTCTTAGTTATGTCGGAACTTTTCGGACTTCAATCTGTGATTGTGTGTGTGATATCTCACCTCTATCTCACCTCCCCTTTGTCAATCACATTTCATAATTCCCCCTACATTGGTTGGAATATGAGAAATATCCGAAATGAGATATTGTATTGGATCTATTTGGATGGTCATTCTTGACTTATTTAAGTTTTCACAAAAAGGAAAAAAAGAGGTGTCTGCACTGTCATCACCCAAACCCCAACCCTCATCCAAGTCTCACTAAGTGATTAGAACTATGGTCCGTCTGTATGGGCCTCGCTGCATCACTGGCGAAATGCCAACGTTTCAAGGGTAGGACCCCACAGGATGGTGGCAAACGGTTTCGGAAGTCTTAGACTTCCAGCCGACTGCTCGCCGCCAACGGAGATGATTAAACAGAGGAGACCCCACCACCACCGCAAAATGTTGCTTTTGCGTTGGAGGCGGTTACCCAAAAAGGAAATTCCGGGGCAGGTTTACTTTTTGGGAAAGGTCGGGGCTTGGAAGGCCATTCCAGATCCTGTACCATTGGTTGTAACGGAAGGCTGCCGACTTCCGTCCGCATCCGCCGGAGTACGCACCCGGGAGGTAGGTCAGCAGACCGAGTATTGGAAAACGGGAATATAGGGCACATAGGAATAAAGGGGTCGTGGACCGAGTGAAAACGGTTGCCCGTCGTCTTCCGCAACGGGATTCTTGGTCTGTGGGGTCCAGGGAGTTGCCTCGCGACTTCCGAAACCGTTTGCCGCCGTCCTGTGGGGTTCTACCCTAAATGTATTGGGACCACTACCAGCCTACCAGGTGAAGATACATTGAGAATGTCGGTGTTTGACGATGAAGCAAATGCCATGCTTCCCTCCCTTGATAAGATGTAATCACTTTATTTGTGGGCTATTTTCCAGGCGGCCTGGGTCCTGGCGACCTGCATGGGTGGCCCCCGGCGGCCCGTCGCGGCGCACC